AATTAAACTCAATAAGAGATACAAGATGAAGGTGGTACAGGCTTACGCACCTACATCCAGTCATGATGACCCTTCAGTTGAAAGCTTCTATGAAGACGTGGAATCGGCAATAAGTAAGGTAAGAACACAGTATACTATACTAATGGGAGACTTTAATGCAAAGGTAGGGAAGAAGCAGGCTGGAGACCAGGCAGTGGGAGATTATGGCATCGGTACTAGAAATGCCAGAGGAGAGCTACAAGTAGAATTCGCAGAACGCTATAATTTACGGATTTTGAATACCTTCTACCGAAAACGAGGAAACCGTAAGTGGACATGGAGGAGCCTTAATGGCGAAAATAAGAATGAAATAGACTTTATAATGAGTGCACACCCAGGCATCGTGCAGGACGTGGAAGTGATTGGCAAGGTACGATACAGTGACCATAGAATGATACGGTCTCGAATTTGCCTAGACTTGAAGAAGGAACCACAGAAACTGATACACAAGAAGCCAATCAATGAGCTAGCACTGAAAGGGAAAGTAGAGGAATTCAGAGTCTCACTTCAGAAGAGGTACTCGGCTCTTATCAATGAAACCAGCCTTAGCGTTGACGCAATAAATGATAATCTGATGAGTATCATTACGGAGTGTGCAGTGGAAGTTGGAGGTTACTTAGACAGGACACTGGAAAACTGTCCCAGGCGACGAAGAACCTCATTAAAGCGTCAAAGCATGAAAGTCTCTCGTACAACAGGCAAAACAGAACTGGCAGAGCTTTCCAAGTTGATTACTAAGCGTAAGGTATCCGATGTAAGAAGGTATAACATGGAGAAAATTGAACACGCTCTGAAAAATGGAGGAAGCGTAAAGAAGTGAAGAGGAAACTTGGGATAGGCAGAAACCGGATGTATGCACTAAGAGACAAAAGAGGCAAAATAACTACCAATATATAGTAGGATAGGTAAAATAGCGGAGGAGTTTTACAGAGACCTGTACAGTAGCCAGGATAACCCCGACCTTAATACTATAAGAACTAGCAGTAACCCAGATGACACCCTACCAGTATAGATAGACGAAGTCAGAAAAGCTTTGGAGAGCATGCAAAGAGGTAAAGCTGCTGGTGAGGACCAGGTAACATCAGATCTCCTGAAAGATGGAGGACAGATAGTGTTAGAAAAACTAGCCATCTTGTTTACGAGGTGCCTGCTGACGGGAAGAGTACCAGAGTCTTGGAAGAATGCTAACGTCATCCTAATACATAAGAAAGGAGATGACAAGGACTTGAAGAATTACAGGCCGATCAGCCTGCTCTCTGTAGTATACAAGCAATTCACAAAAGTAATTGCTAACAGAGTCAAGAAAACATTAGTATTCAATCAACCAAAGGAACAAGCAGGATTTCGAACAGGCTACTCAACAATCGACCACAATACTATCAATCAGGTTATAGAGAAATGCTCAGAATATAGCCAACCACTATACATAGCCTTCATAGATTACGAGAAGGCGATTGATTCAGTAGAAATATCAGCAGTCATGCAGACACTGGGGAATCGGGGCGTCGATGAAGTATATATTGCTATTTTATAACAGTATAATCATCCAGGAAGAAATCTACAGGGGATCAACTGCTACCATATAGCTTCATAAAGAAAGCAACAGAATACCAATCAAGAAGGGTGTAAGGCAGGGGGATACGATCTCCCCAATGCTGTTCACCGCATGCTGTCGGGAGGTTTTCAGAGGCCTAGAATGGGAACAGTTAGGGATAAGAGTTAATGGAGAGTACCTTAGTAACCTGCGCTTCGCCGATGAAATTGCATTGCTGAGTAACTCAGGGGACGAATTGCAACTCATAATTACCATATTTTCGCGTGTATAACCCACACCAAAAACCCAAAAATTTCAGTGGCAAAGTGGAAGTGCGAATAATACACGGGGTTTTTTCTATAGTGCTGCTTCACAGCAATGCGTGTTGTGCTGCGAAGCCCCTTAACAGTGTAGCGAAGGCTACGAAGGCGGTTTCCGCAAATTCGTGTTGCTCCGCAAGTAGCACGGCAGCTTGCGGCCGATTTTGGTTTCGCTTGCTTGCATCGTTGAAGCGTTTAGAAAAACATTTGGGGAGAGACAATTCAATTGTTCAGTGTAAAATCTCACTGTCACACCACAAGTATATTTTTTGGACGTTCACGGCCGCTCAGTGACCCTCCACATGTCCCTACGTCACGGATGCCATGTTTAATTTTGGAAAGGGCTTGCCTAAAAGGTGGTGCTGTCTAAGAAAGTTCCATAATAAATAAAGTAAGTTCCATAATAAATAAAGCAGTATTTATTTCATCAAGGCAAATGAGATGTTATAGTGCCTGTAGAGATATTATCATTACATTACTGTACTACTTTTTGATGCGGTAGCAGGCATGCATTTCGGTTCTGTTGTTTCAAGGGTGCTGTTACAGTGTACTAGAAGGGGTAGTGCTGTCAAATTGTCGCCGAGTGTGAGCGCTCTTTACTTCGCTTATACCGCTAGTTCTCCACATCTCGTCCCGTTTGCCAAGCCTAAGTCGATCTGTTCTGTCACCATGAGTAGCGTACGGCGGCAGGCCTTCACGACACAGCAAAAGCTTAAGATCATCGCAGTCGCCGAGGAATTTGGAAATCGCGAAGCGGGAAGACGGCACGATGTGGACGAGTCCTGCGTGCAACTGTGGAGAAAGAAGAAATAGCCTACAAGCCGCGCACCGCAACCGTAGGTCATTTCGTGGCCCCAAGACCGGTGCCTACCCTGAGCTGGAGGCGGAGCTAGTAAAGTTCATCGAAGATGTGAGAAGCAGGGGTCACGCCGTATCGACCGAGATGGCCCAAGTGGAAGCGCGGCGACTTTCGAGGGAGCTAGGCCTACCTTACGAGTTCCATGCGAGCCGCGGATGGCTGCACCGCTTTATGAAGCGGCAAGGGCTCTCAACCAGACGGCGGACTACAATATGTCAACGCTTGCCGGCTTCTTATGAGGAGAAGCTGCTCAAGTACCACAAATATGTAATTGGCCTGCGAAAACAGCACAATTACATTTTCTTGCAAATCGGCAATGCGGATGAAACTCCTGTTTATTTTGAAATGCCGTTGGACACAACGATTGAGAAGACGGGCAGCAGTTCGGTGAGCGTGCTGACCGGCGGGAACACGAAACTGCGCATCACAGTCTTGCTTCGTGCCCTCGCCGACAGCACGCAACTGCGACCGCATGTCATCTTGAAAAGGAGAACTTTACCAAAGGTTCATTTGCCTGCCGGTGTGGTGGTGCGCGCACACAAGAACGCGTGCATGAACAGTGACTTGTTCGTAGACTGTATCAAGACAGTATGGGAAAAGAGGCCCGGTGTGATGCTCGCAAAGAGGTCCATGCTCGTTCTTGACTCGTTCCGCGGCCACACAACTGAGGAAGTGAAGGACGGCCTTTCACACAACGGCCCCGACTTATTTGTTATACCCGGTGGAATGGCGTCAATGTTGCAGCCTCTAGATGTGTCGCTTAACAAGCCCTTCAAAGCGCATGTCAAGCGCTATTACGCCGAGTGGATGGCCGAAAGCTGCTACGACTTGACGCCGACAGGACGAGTCCGAAGGCCTGATATTGCCCTATTCTGCAAGTGGATTGTCGAGGCATGGAAGGCCATGTCAGGTGAGATGGTGCAAAAAGGTTTCAAGAAATGCTGTATCACAAACAACATGGATGGAACCGAAGATGACCTTGTGCATAATAGTGAGTACTGCGGCTCAAGTGATAGCTCTAGCGAGAGCAGCGACAGTGAGTGAATTGTGACTGGCCTTGCAGACAGCGTATTCTGCTTGCTAAATAAAGCTTTTTCTGTCTACATATGTGCTATGTTGCTTGAGCAGTAGCTGTTGTACAGCCTTTTCCGTATATCAAATGAGCGGGCAATACGCGAGGATTTTTTTTTTTCTTTCTCGGTGAGCTGAAAGTGGGGGTGCGGATTATAGGCAGGGGCGGGTATTACGCGCAAAAATACGGTAAATACGGCACGGGCTGTCCAAGAGCTTCTGAAGATACGCAGTGGAGCATGTTATTCTCTCTTAGCATTTCTGGTTCTTCTGGCACTCTTCGAGACGCCAGAACAGCGATTCACGTGACATAATTAGGGCACATACTCTAGAATGATCCATAGAGAAAAAATAACTGTTGCAAATTATTTTCTACCCTGCTTTGCCATGCATTCACCACCAGCCACCGCTGTTCTTCCTCGCGTTTCGCAAGATTATCATGCGCAATGAACTTGTGATTTTGCTGTATTTTGTGAGTTTCTGATTGCGCAAGTGGATATAGGAAGAGTGTTGCCAACAGTTCGAAATCCTGATAAGCTCAACACTTGGCGCTCTCATTGCACACATGCTTCATGAACACATAAATGTTGAAAAGCCCATAAGAATCTAGTAAGTATAGTGTAGGGCAGTGTAATCAAGAATGAAACCAAAAAATAATTTTTTCATGCTCCCAACGGACGAATTTTTTACAGAGAAGACAATGCAGCTCTTCATAAAAAAAGGTCAGCCCACTTCAATGGTTTCTGTATATTTTTGAATGCGAGAAGAATCATGCGGACACTCTCTACAAGCTTTCATCATCTCTGTCATGTTGCCTATGAAGTCCAAAAAAATTACTTTTGTACACACACTGTATGCTGTTCCCACGGATAAAATCTGACGAGTACTATAGCGAGGAACACTGCTGAGTCATAGAAGAAGCAAGCTGCCACTTTCATCACACGGAGGGTGCATGCGATAACATCACTTCGCCCGATGCCTATCGTCGATTGCTCCCCAATCGGAAAGAAAGCCCTGCCTGTCCTTTGCTAGATGAAGGAATATGAGGGGATACTAAGGCTTGCCGTAGAGAAGGTATGAATTGAAAGAAAACACTATTTCACCAACCTGCTGTGCTTGTCATTACTGTGGATGGCATGCCAGCTTTTAGTTTTCTATTTACCGGAAGTGAACGCACCTTTGCAGCTTCAATCATGCGAGCCGTGGCATCAGCCAGCACCTTGGCAGCTGCCAGCAGTCGTTTCTGTTGGTCGGAGTCTGGCTCAGCTTGGGCTTCGCCCTTGATAGCCTGGATCAGCTGGGCAGTGGCTCGTGCCAGAACCTGTGCAGAAGGAGGATAGTTTTTTCCTTGTCCATCGACAAGCCAGTTGCACACCTCTCGAGACATTGGGCATTTTTCGCTCAACTTACGCCACACATCGCACTTTTGTGTAGCTGGCACCCTTCTTCATGAAATGCAAACATTCAAGTTACAAAAACTTACGGCCGGAATGTCTTGCCACTCAACAACAGACATACAATCCTGGCATGCATTTACTGTTCCCTGTCATTTGCATTCAGACTACTGTTCACAGCTAAAAGAAATTCTCGGCATCTGAACCAATGAAAATAAAAACGTCTTCATTTGTGGTGACATCAACATAAACATTTCTCCTAAATGTCAGTCTTACTGTGATTATATCAACTACTTATTTAGTTCTGGTTTTTTTTTTCTCTTATTAATGTTCCAACAAGATGTGACACTGCTGATTCTTGCACATTAATAGACCACATATTTTCGTCTTCATCCTCCAAACCAACACTGGAGCAATAGATTATTCGATTACGTATTGCTATTCTTGGATTCCTATGAGACGAGAATGTGTGCCTACGGAATACATGGGTTGTGCACTCAATAATATGGTCCGTCATTGCTGACAGGAACATGGAATACGCCTTCTGAGGAATTGATTGATATGTGGGGTTTAACGTCCCAAAACCACTATATGATTATGAGAGACGCCGTAGTGGAGAGCTCCGGAAATTTCGACCAACTGGGGTTCTTTAACGTGCACCCAAATCTGAGCACACTGGCCTACAACATTTCCGCCTCCATCGGAAATGCAGCCGCCGCAGCCGGGATTTGAACCCGCGACCTGCGGGTCAGCAGCCGAGTACCTTAGCCACTAGACCACCGCGGCGGGGCACGCCTTCTGAGGAAGTTTTTCACCTAAAACACTACTCTAGCAAGTGCTGTGCACCTTTTGTGTACCGTATAAACCGTAATATAAGTCGAGATATTTTCAATGAAGTAATAAGCTAAAGTCACCCCTCGTCTTATATAGCGGTGTCTAGCCGAAAGTGCGTCTAGCCGAAAGTGCGACGCTGTCTGGCAACATGTGGCTTGCATGAGCTTGTGAAGCCGGACGCGGCCATATTCACACCTTAATCCGATCGCAGCCTTTTTTTTTTTTTTTCTCCATCTGTTTTCTTTGTGTTCGTGATTTGCTTCCGATCTGTACTGAATTTTCGCTTCACTTGACGTTGCACTGCATTTTTAGTGGCCCTTTTTTTTTTTCGTTCACTGAATATGTCTAGCGGTGCGAGGAGGCAGTACTCAGCTGCGTTTAAACTAGATGTTGTTGAGTTTGCAGAAACAAATGGGAATATGGCTGCTCAGCGCCGCTTTGGTGTATCGGAAGAAAGCGTGTGCTATTGGAGGGCGCAGAAAGAGAAGCTGCAGATGTGCAATCCTCGAAAAATGTCGTTTCGTGGACGAAGTGCCGTTCATCCGCAGCTGAAGAATAAGCTAGCGGACTTTGTGCGGGAAGCTCGTGCACGCTCGCTGCCAGTGACCGTGGGTACCATTCGCAAGAAAGCCGAAAAACTCGCTCGAGAAGCTGGGCTCACGAGAGAAGAGTCTCGTGCACCGAACTCTTGGGTGCGTCGATTTACGTGACGCAAAGGATTTTCTCTCCGGCAGCGCACATCCATCTGTCAAAAGTTGCTGGAGGAGTTCGAGGACAAGCTTATAAACTTTCAGCACTTCGTGAACCGGCTTCGGGAGCAGAACGACTACATGATGGGGCAGATTGGCAACGCCGATGAGACCCCCGTGTGGTTTGACATGTCTTCGTCGACCATGATCACGCAGCGTGGCGCCAAGAATGTGAAGCTGTTGTCCACTGGCAATGAGCACTCACGGTTCACCGTCATGCTGGTATGCACGGCAGATGGTAGAAAGCTTCTGCCCTTCGTCATTTTCAAATGCAAGACAATGACGAAGGAAATGTTCCCGCCCTGTGTTGTCGTTCGCGTCAACAAAAAGGGATACATGGACGAGGCCATGATGCTCGAATAGATACGAGTGGTGTGAAACCGTCGGCCAGGTGCACTGCTGCGTCTTCGCAGCATGCTGGTGTTGGATGCGTTTCGTGGCCACTTAACCGTCGCAGTGAAACGCGCACTCGGCGACGGGAAAACTGACCTCATCGTGATAGCAGGTGTTATGCCGTCCACCCTCCAGCGGCTCGACGTTGTGCTAAACAAGCCGTTCAAGGACCGAGTGCGGCTGGAATACCAAGAGTGGATGTCCGGCAACGACCCCAAGACACCGACGGGCCGCCTACAGAGGCCTTTGCTTGCGACCGTTTGTGTCTGGGTGCTTTCCGCCTGGCGCTCCTTCCCAGATTCCATGGTAGAAAATGCTTTCAAGAAATGTTGCATCAGCAACTCGCTGGATGGCACTGAAGACGACTCACTGTGGGAAGCGGCCAGCGACAAACTCTTGTCTTCAGAAGACAGTGGTGCTTCGTCGGACGAATAGGAGCAGTTGCGATGGTGATTGAGGGGAGCTCCGACGATCGGGGTGCGGTGCTCCCAATTCGCAAATAAATGTGGTTCGGCAGTTTTTGGTTGTTTTCCTTTTTTTCTTTTTTCTGTAACCTGAACCTGGGGGGTCGACCTATATTCCCACTCGACCTATAGTCCGGTTTATACGGTAAATAATGCTTCATTGAAGAAACTTTTAGTTCATAGGCAATGCTGCATATGTTTTCTTGTGCCAAGACTGCACAACAGCAGATCCTTGGATGTTTTACGTTAAAAACTTCCTGAGAAGGCATATTCCATGTTCCTGTCAACAATGACGAACCACATTATTGACTGCACAACCCATGTATCCCGTAGGCACACATTCTCGTCTCCTACGAATCCAAGGATCACAAATGCGCTGCTGCGCTCAATAATTAAGAAAAAAAGATCTTCTTAAAAAGGTCATACTACAGCCTTTCAACGTATTGTTGCAAGCTAGATTTCAAAAAAATTTAACAATACCTATTCTTTCTGGCATCTTTAAACGTGCAAAATGGGAATATTATGAAATGCAAATATATGAAAACGAAAGATATACTAGGCGTGATAGGGAGCTGTAATGAGTAGTGATCATTATGGACACAACTGATGGACTAAAGCGATCTGTTTCCAGTGTCAGTGAGTGAAGGGAAACCGAAAAAGGCGTAGGACAAATATAGAAAAGCCAGGAAGAGAAGGAGGAAAACTGAATATGTCTGAACGACTGGCGTGTGGAACGCGAGAGGAAGACATGCGGACTAAACTGTTTGTGGTACCCTCAAGGCTGTTGGGTTCCAGACCCGAGCCTGTGGACGACCTCGTTATCCGGCAAGGACCACGCCTGCTGTGCCGCGTCACTGTGGCCGAGGTGTCCAGGGGATACTTGGTAAGTAACACCGCGATCGTGTCTCCATGCCGCACATACCCTTGTCTTTCCCGATCTACCAACCCCGGCATAACAGCGACATTCCCACAATGAACTTGACAGAGAAGAATCACTCCCAGATTAAGCGAGAGGCACTGTTTTACGGTGTCAGATGGTTTTGCGACTGTCTACTTAAAAGAGAGTTCACTCTATTGACCCATAATCAGCCTTTGCTGGGTCTCTTAAAGAGGAACAAGCCAACCCCTACCACGGTAGCAGCTCGAATACAAAGATGGCCTATCACGCTAGGCGCCTATAGGTACCATTTGCAGCATAAACCTGGGAGACTTTTATACAATGCCGATGCACTAAGCCATGTACCTATAACCTCGCAGCAAGCATCCGAAGTGGAGGACTTCACGCCAGTTGTCCTATCTTTAGATCAGCAGGACATCGCTGCTGTGCCATTTGCACGGTTGCAAGCCTTAACGGTGACAGGGGTCATCTCTTGAGTTTACAAATACACTGGTTGGCCACGGGGTGTGAAAGGAGGTGCCGAACTCTCAGAATACAGTCGAGCCCACATATAACGACAACACTAAAAATGAACTTTCGCTTAAAACGAACAATATCCACTTGACCGTGAAAATATAAATTGGTTCGGGCACAAAATCGCACTTACCACGAAGGTCTCCGAGCGCTGCTGATTGGTTACAGGCGAACGGAGTCAGCGGTCTGCCGACTTCTCGGGAAACCAATTTCGACCACCGATCAAGCATCGGCGAGATGTCCATACATTCTTATTGTTAAACGTCGACCCTGCCTCCGTGCCCCTCTAGTTGCCGCCCTCCCCAACCGCTTTTTTTATGCACCCCTCCACCCCTCCGTCCTTTGTCGTCGTCCCCCCCCCCCCGCTACCCTGGGTACCCCGCATCGCCAGACGAGGCCCCATCGCCAGGGGGTGACATTTTTCCAGGCTATCCACACCATCTAACAGACACCTTTCTTTATCCTCTGCTGATGCTTTGCTAGCCACATACAGTCGAGCCCACATATAATGGCCCCACTTAAAACGAACTTTAGCTTAAAACGAATAATATCCGCGTGACCGTGAAAATATATATTGGTTCAATGGCACGAAATTGCACTTACAACAAACCTCTCTGAGTGCCGCTGCTCGGTTACAGCGAATGGAGTCAGTGGTCTGCCGACTTCCCGGGAAACCAATTTCAACCACCGATCAGGTATCGGCGAGGTGCCCCCACATTCTTATTGTTAAACGCCGACCCTGCCTCCACGCCCCTCTAGTTGCTGCTCTCCCCGACCGCTTTTGTTACGTACCTCTCCGTCCTTTGTCCCCCCCCCCCCGCTATTCTGAACATTCCGCATCGCCAGACGAGGCCCGTGTTTTCACACTGGCACTGATCTTTCGAGGACCGGTCGGCCATCTACCCTATTTTTGATCGCTGGTACTGTCGGTGTCGCCGGCCTGGAGTGACCAGGCCAATTGCCAACATCGTCGGCCACCGACTGTATCCGATAGTCTGCGTCTAGTGCATGCGCGTACTCTACCCCACCGACTCTGATAATTTGCGATTACTTTCGTGTTTAGGACTTGTTCTCGC